CTCGCCTCGCCTCACCTGCGGGTCGTAGAGGACCACGGAGCGGCAGGAGCCGAAGGCCACCAGCCCGCCCCGCCCCCAGGCCACCGCCCCGGCCCCGGCCCGGTTGGCGCCGCAGGCGGCGTGGCTCAGCTCGAAGCGCGCCGCCATTTTCCCCCGCCGCGCGTTTGGCCCACAGCGGCCGCCGTAGCCACGGCGTGCGATGATGACGACAATGGCTCCCCCGGGGGCGGGGCGGGAACCATCAGCACCGCCTCCTTATACCTCCCACCCGCGCTCTTGGCTTCGGGGCGTCCGGGGCGGGCTGGGAGCCTAGCAACGAGTGTTGCCGGGCAACAGCCTATGTTTAGGCCCGCCCCCCCTCCCGGGAAGGGAGTTTATTGGCCGCCTGACCGAGCTGTCGCCGGTGGGGGGGGGGGCAGGACAGTCCCCCACATTGCTGCTGGCCCCTCTGTTTCCTCCACGACCCCCAGGCTCTTCTCCTCCCAGCCCTCTGGGGCCTTCGGCAGCAGCCTGGCCACGGAGCATGCAAAGCAGTGGTTTCCTTTTGGGCCCCTGTCTGCAGTGCACAAGGAGATAGATGCGCCACCCAGGGCCGGCTCACTCACTAGGCAAACTAGGCGATCGCCTAGGGCGCCAAACTGCCCCTGACCTGTACTCTGGGAGTTTCTTGATTATTTGTGTTTTTCATTCTTCCTAAAATGCATTTATTTTTGAAAAATGGTGGGCGCAGGGGGGGGCGCCAGAAGGGATCCTCGCCTAGGGTGCAAGGGCCGGCCCTGGCACCACCTGCTACATGTCTGGATCTCCGGCTGCAGGCGTGGGAGCAGGGTCGTTGTGCAGAACAAATCTGGCAACACTTTTGGCTTGTGGAATTCCTGGAGAGTTTGGGGGGGGGGGCGTGCCTGGGGGGGGGGTTTTGGGCTGGGGGGCACACACAGTGTCACGGGGTCTCTACAGAAACTGCCCCTCCTTCCAGGGAAGCGGATCTCCATAGTCTGGGGATCAGTGATGATTCGTTTAATTTATATCCTACTTTCTCCCCAAAGTGGCTGACATCCTCCTCCTGCCCTTCATTTATCCTCACAACAACCCTATGGGGTAGGTTAGGCTGAAAGTGTGCCACTGGCCCAAGGTCACTGTAAGACACAGGCTTCGGGTTCTCTGCCAGAATACCCAGGTCCAGGCTCTACGCTCCGGTTTGGCAAATCAGGCAAAAGTGCTTTTATTATCAAACAAAAAACAAAGGCAACCTCAGTTAACAGTACTTCAAGGAAAAAAAGAAAATCCCACGTCCTTCAATTAACAGTACTTCAAGGAAAAAAAGAAAATCCCACGTCCTTCAAGGGGTTGCCAAAATACAAAGAGTAATTAAAATCAACTGGAACTTACAATGACTCCGCAAGGTAGGAAAACATCCTGCCCACCAGACGCGCGCTGCTTCCCCTCATACCTTTTGCTATTTTATCTTTGGACCTGCCTCTCCCTATCTCCAGTGCAGCTGTCAATTAAGAGATCTCAGCTGTGAGGCTCTTGCAAAGCTGACTACTGGACAGTTCCTGTAAAGACTTGCGAGGGCGATCCTCCCCCTCCTGCCTTCCTTCAGTTCTACAGTGTTGCTCTGTTACAGACAAGTTGGTGTCTTCCTTACAGTCACCCAGCAAGGGAGTGGGGATTTGAACCTGGTTCTCCCCGGATCCTAGTCCAACACTCCAACCATGACACCAGCGTGGCTCAGAGAACTTCGGACCCCCACCGAAAGATTGACACTCTGTGCTCCAGACCACCACGGGGCCAGCTCTGCTGTCTCTTTCTCCCAGAACCTCCAGCAGCACAGTGTATTTTTGCAATGCTACAGCATCTTTTTGTGATGCTACAACGTATGTTGTAAGCCGCCCTGAGCCCACTTGTGGGATAGGGCAGGATAGAAGTGTAAATAAATAAATAAAGGTTTGCTTCGCTTCTCATTCATTAATACTTGTTAGTGTAAGAGAGATGGAAAGTGAGAGGGGTTTCAGAATCCAGAACACTTTCTCAGAGTTTCTCCTCATTCTGCTTTAAAGGGGAAGTTGTATACTTTTTTTGGGGGGGGGGGGTTGAACAAATCATTTTCTTTTTCTTTTTTTTTGCCCTAAACTGCTGCCGTCATTGCTGCATGGAAATGCATCGCACAGAAATGTTATGGAGAGTTCACTTCTGAGATTTGCCATAGAGAATCATGAAATGTTGGTCTTTCTTTGAAAAAGCCATGATGTGAAACCAGACAATCAAATAGCACGCTCATTGGAAACGCTTTGTGGAATTCCTGATTCTACTTTGAAACCGTCTGTCTTTGGATCTTTCATCTGGAAACACTTTGCTTGTTTCTCCCATTGGACTTCTTATTCATATGGACATTTGATATTGTACGTGTTTATAGACATATGTAAATTGATGTCTTTGTGATTGTATCAGCAAATAACCACAACACAGTGGGGCTGTACACTCTGTAATTAATACAGTTTATTTTGCTTATCTCCTGCCAACCTAGCAGTTCGAAAGCAAGAAATACCAAGTACAAGACAATGCCTTTAGCTTGTCAAACAGCACTGTTTGTTTTCTGCCCCATGTGGAAACCCTCAAGAGTTGACGAACCTTATCTTTCTCATTGACTGAACCCAGTCCAAATTCTACAGAGCTTCCACCGCAACCCTAGAGTTGGACTCGACTGGCTTTCGAGCAAGGGAACCTTTACCTTTACCTTTACTATTTTGCTTATGTTTTCATAAATGGTTGTTTTTGTTATTTTGGACCAGTTGGAGATTGGCAAACCCTAATTACCAAGTACAAGACAATGCCTTTAGCTTATCAAACGGCACTGTTTGTTTTGTATTTTTGGTCTGCCCCATGTGGAAACCCTCAAGAGGTGACGAACCTTATCTTTCTCATTGACTGAACCCAGTCCAAATTCTACAGAGCTTCTGAAAGATCCTCAGGCCATGTCTGGCAGGTTTCCAGGGGCAGGGAAGTCATTCATATCCCCCTGGCCGGGGGGGGGATGGGGGGGGGGGGTGACAGGAGATCCTATCTTGCTGTGTCCTAAAGACCCGCCGAAGATCCTCCCAGGATGTGTTTTAGGCAGCAGACACACCCCTTGGCCGTCCAAAAGCCAATAAAAATGTCCATCAGTTTAAATAAAACAGCACTAACAGCAATAGTTAGCTACTTGCAGCTTCCTGCAACACACTAAGACATGTTCTCAGAATCTCATGCAGAGAGTACCCTCCAGAAATAGAACGTGTCAGCTCAGCTCAACAAGTTTAGGCTATTGTTAGCTGTTCTGGTAACCAAACACCTTTTCTAAATGATTTCCTTAAGAGTCCTCTAGTGTCAAAGCATATCTGAAGTATTTCTGCCACTCGTAATCACAGGGTGCTGCACCACAGTCTTGGGGTGGGGGGTCAGTTGATGGCACCAGGCGTCTGTGGCATGAAAAGGGGGCGAGCTGCATCGAGAAAGAAGTCACTGGCCTTGGATGAAAATCCGGATGAATGTGGTATGCCAAAGCAACCGCTTTCATGGTAGCAAAAATACTCCACGCTACAGAAGACCTCGTGGCCCATGCCGTAGATGCTTTGCCTCCTGCTGCTGGTGTATCTTTGGCAACTACTTTGTGTAACGTAAAGTGGTTAATCAGGTTGCCAGCTTCAATTTGGTCACCCCGTCTTGCTTGTCTCTGCCATATAAAGGCATAGGACATCATGTTAAATATTTCAGGTTCATCAACAGCAAGCCAAGAGGGTTGTTCCACACCCATGATCGGGTCATGCTGCATAAGGAGAGCCCGTTTGGTGCAGCGGTTTGATTCAGTCAGCCAGACAAAGCTATGGGAGAAACTAGAGGGTACCCTAAATAAATAGCTTGGGCCAAAACTCCACCTTTGATACAACTGACCGGTTTTATCCACCAGCTTGTGTGTGGAGTTGGTATTAAGGGTGTAGCCCTTTGGTAGGGGAGGGGGGAGATTTGGGGCTGGCTATTTTCTTTGATTTTGGCCAGGGATGTTTTAACTATTATGATAAGGCACTTTGAACCAAGAGGAAAGGTGAGATAATAAACGTAGGTAGGTGTAGGTAGTTAGGAAAGGAAAAAGGCAGGCAGGCAGGCAGGAAGGAAGGAAGGAAGGAAGGAAGGAAAACAGACCTGCCTTTCTTAGAGGCATCCTGAAACTGAAACAGCTATTGAACAACAGCAGATGGTATCTACATCACGGAGCAAATGGCCACACCAATCGTCCTTCCCACAGCACTGTTGTGGACCTGGTAATGTTGGTGGTGGCGTTATCAAGGGCTCACTACTTGGCAAGTCTTCAAAGTGAATGGACACAGACTCTCAAAACTCTGATGTCAGCGCAGAGAGAAATTTCCAAAGGAAAATTAAACCCTCCTGTCTCTGACCTTACTTAAAAATACTGTAACAACAACTTAGCTTTTATATAGCACTGTCATATATTCATGGTACTTTATGCTTATTATCTTTTTGTAATCGAGCTAACAGCAGCTTCTTCAGGGAACGTGATATTGATAAAGGACACAATTTGGAAACAAAAGGCTAAAGCAGAGATTCAAAAGGCTAAGCCACAGATTCTAATGGTGGAGGAATGTATAATGCTGCCTTAGACTGAGTTGGATTTGGCTCTCAAGGAGAAAAGGGTCTCGGACAGCTCCTGAGGTCCATTAATGGGGATGCCGGACTAGAACTTGGACTGCCTGCATGCAAGCCATTTGTTCAGTCATGAGCAATGTTGCCGCTAAGCTGTGGAGTCTTGTGAGCAAAAATTCTACTTTGTGAGCCACTGGAATTAAAGTTGTGAGTGAGCGATTTGGCTGCTGCATAAATCAGTTTGCTTTGGAGCCCTCCTTCCTGAGCTGAGACAAAAATGTGTGAGCTGGAGGCTAAAAAACTGTGAGCTGGCTCACAGTAACTCAGCTTAGAGGGAACACTGGTCATGAGCCTTGGCCCATCCCCTCTTGCATCACAGCTCGCTTAGCCCTGGATTATCTACCCTTAAAGCTGGTTTTCTTTTTCTAAAGCACCCTCAGAAGCAGAGTTACTGAAATCAGTGGGCTTAGAAGGGGGTACCTCTGCTTGGATGTCCTTGCGAGTGATGA